GATGGGAAACCTATCCCATCGATGGGAACCCAGCGATGGTAAGGGTAAACCATCGATGGGAAGGGATGACCGTTGTAGGTCATTTAAGGTTGATTCTTTCCTTGTTTGGAAGTCAACCTCCCACCCAGCGATGGGAAGCTTGTACCCATCGATGGGTAGGTGACCGTTGGCTTCAAAACTGAAGGAAAATTGGCTTACCAGCAATGGTTGAGTCTAAACATCGATGGGAAGCCAATATTCTGCAGATCCCAAATTTTTTCAATCCCATAAATCAAGCCAATCACCCCTTTAATGCATTGGTCCGTTGGAGCCTATTTTGGCACTATAAAAAGGGGTGTTTGGGTCTGCTTTTCTCACCAATTCACTTCACAACATTCATACTTTCATTGCATTCAAATATCATCATTTTCCATAGCTTTCTAGAGCCATTTTGTGTGAAGGTTGAGTTGTTCTTGAGCGTTCTTAGTTTACTCATAATCTACTCTATAAGAGAGTCTCGTTCTTGAGTGTATTCGTGTTCTTAGACACTTTGAGAGAAAGTATTTCTCTCGGTAGTTTCAAAGGAAGGGCTGTTTCCTTTGAAGGATTCGTTGAGGTTCGTGTAACTCGAACTCTCAAGTTGTAACGGTTTGTTAAGCACCTGCAAGCTTAACGAGATAGTAGTGTAGCTCGAGAGAGTCTCTCGGGAGGCTGGATTAGCCACAAGTTGTGGTGAACCAGGGTAAAATTCGGTGTGCCTCTTACTCTTTTCTTCACTTCTCTTTTAATTTTTTAATTCCTGCAATTTCTACGATCAAACGCTATTCACCCCCCCTCTAGCGTTGGTCACTTATTCTAACAATTGGTATCAGAGCCTAACTCGCGTCCAAACATAACCGTTTGAGAGTAAAGCTATCATGGGTTCTTCTTCTAGAAATCTTTATGCAGGAATTGGAGAAGGTCAATCAACCTCTAGGCCACCGCTCTTTGATGGCACCAACTACACATATTGGAAAGAGCGGATGAGAATTTATATCCGCTCAACCAACTTTTAGTTGTGGTTGGTCATCAAGAATGGCGAGGAAACTCCAATGAAGAAGGTCGATGAAAAACTCGTCCCAAAGACCGAGGACGAATTTGATGCCGAAGACATCAAAAAGGTGGAGAACTACGCCAAGGCAATCAACATGTTGTACTGCGCGATCAACCCAGATGATTATCGCAAGATCTCTTGCTGCACCACTGCCAAAGAAATGTGGGACAAGCTGGAGGTCACATATGAAGGTACGGACCAAGTTCGGGAAGCCAAAATTTAC